ATCAAGATACCTAGATCACTTATTATTACTCATTCGTGATTGAGTATTATGACAATTCACTGCAGTTCCTGATAATCATCCATTCTAAAGCATGTGCCTTCAAAATACAATTAAAAAGATGAAAGTAATCAGATTTTTTTTTCAGGTTTGTAGATTTCCAAATGCCTCATTACAGCTCCCCGTGTATTGACGTCACATATTTCTTGTACACAAGTATCAAGCCAAACGTACGGCATCAAAATCTACAAAGTTTAATCCAACTCTACCACGAATCCCTAACCAGTTCCTTGGACAGATTCGGTTACAAAGGTTCCAAACCGAATCTAGAAGATATCGATAACGCCATGGAACGCCTGTTATTTTTTGGATTGTGTTTCTTTACTGCATGCTTTCCATGTTTGCTCACGACAAGAACAGACGCCATGGATGTGGACTTAATCTTTAAGACCAATGGTGAAGAAGGCTTTAATATAAGTGTATACTGTGAAGACGGAGTTGTAGAAAAGATGGGAGAGGATCTCAAAACACTTGTGAATGTTTTAGAAAATTAAATCAAAATAAATTATAGAAATAATTATAAAGAAGAGAAGAATAGTTGGGGTGCTCAGTCAAAAAGGAAGGCAAAAAATAAATTATAATATTTATTTTTTACATATGCCGACGTTTCGACCTGAAGTTCAGGCCTTCATCAGGGCTACGAAAATAACCAGATAACAAGGTATGAGAAACATAAGTAATGATGGTAAAAAAGATAATAAAAAATGAGAAAATAAAATATAAAAAAAAATTATTAGAAAAATAAGATAGATAGATATAAAGTAAAATGAAATTGTTAGAATAATGACTAAGAACTAAGAGATAAATAATAAAAACTGTTACATAGTGTGGAATGATGAAGTAGGCATAATCAAAAAGGGGTGACAAAAGTGTTACATTGGGAATCTTAGAATAAAATTTAAGGAGAAAGGTAGTACTTCTTTTATTTATTTCTTATTTCAGCTTTCTCAATTTCTTCCCTCCTTCCTTTCATTCCTTTTCTCTGTTTTTAACTCTTTATTATATTATACATTGTCTGCACATCTTGATAGACTTTACAATATCTCAATTTTCTATCTAACTACTCCATTCTCAATGTTTTAATTTTACTATTTATTTTATTTTCATTTCTTATATATATAACTTTATATTTCTTTTTTATGTTTTTACATTTTATTCTAAGATTCCCAATGTAACACTTTTGTCACCCCTTCTTGATTATGCCTACTTCATCATTCCACACTATGTAACAGTTTTTATTATTTATCTCTTAGTTCTTAGTCATTATTCTAACAATTTCATTTTACTTTATATCTATCTATCTTATTTTTCTAATAATTTTTTTATTATTTTATTTTCTCATTTTTTATTATCTTTTTTACCATCATTACTCATGTTTCTCATACCTTGTTATCTGGTTATTTTCTTAGCCCTGATGAAGGCCTGAACTTCAGGTCGAAACGTCGGCATATGTAAAAAATAAATATTATAATTTATTTTTTGCCTTCCTTTTTGACTGAGCACCCCAACTATTCTTCTCTTCATTATCCACGACAGTCAACCTATTACCAATTAAGAAATAATTATAATAATATTGCATGACTGCTCAACTGCTTTGAGTTGCTAAATCACAGCATGCTCAACAGATATTTAAAACCAAACAACAAGATTTGGATAGGACCAATACAATATATAGCAAATATGTTGAAGACAGTGAACAGCATAATATATTATTTATTTATTTATATATTTCATCCTCCCATTCCACTATGGCAATACGGGTGTTTACAATAGTGTGTTAATAGGCATAAATGCTTAATAACACTAGTTAACTGTTGTAGGTTTTATGCTTTTAATCATAATTAAATGCCACTAAACATTATTTTTAATGAAAATTATAGGAATCTTTTCGCTCACAAAACAATTTTGAAATTTTCACATAAGTAAATCAATAAATTATCAATAAACAATTGAGGATTTTTGAATCGTACTTTATTCTTTATTTATTGAATTTATTTTTTATTTAATTATTTTTTATTTAAGTTTTTCTGGATATGTTCGAATTTCGATCACTGGACAAACACTGGTTAATTTAAATAGATCCAAGTAAGCAAAATAAAAATAAAAATTTGATTATAAAAAATTATTATTTATTAATTTAATTATATTTTTCCTAGTTTTGTACTTCTATGAAATCATAATAATGTGTTTTCGCTTTATTTTTAATAATTATAGGGATATTTTATCCTTTAAAAAAATTATTTTTCTAATTTTATTTTTATAGAAAGTTTATAAAAATATATGCTCTTAGTTATTTATTTAATTTCGTGCCTTTAATTAAACTCATTTTACTTCTTGTCCTTAAATTTGAACATTTTTTTTTTATTTTTTTTTTTTTTAGCATGTAATATTCTGTCTCGTCGTGGTGAATAATTATAGTGATAAATGAACACATTCACACCATATATACAGAAAATACAAAATTAACAAAAGAAAAATAATAACTAAATAATAATAAAAAAAAACTATGTACAATAAAAAAAATAAAATAACCTAAAGATAAGTAAATTAAAAACACAGTCATACCTATATACAATATATACAATCAGACAGGGAACCCAAAGCCATGCTTCTCCCTCCTGCTATAGACAGAAAAGCAGGACTCTAAGAGATCCCTGCGCTACTCTCTCAACTGCGACACTGGTGCTAAAGCCAGGATTCACTGGAGTTTGAGCGAGAGCACTTTAGCCACATACACTCATGTCTTGAGTGGAGAATCTGGCCATTGCCAGAACTCCAAGATATATACCATAAAAGATCTCTGGGCCACTGCCGCTTCAACCTTTGAGGAGGGTTGTAGGGATGAGTGGAATTAGATAGGGATTGTGCTAGGGTTTTGGATGATTTATAAGATTCTGATGGAATTTGAAAAAAAATTCAGTGATAAGGTGAAGGAAAAATGGGATATTGAGGTCATGATGTAGTGCTTTGTTGGTTACATAGAACGGAGCATCGACTATTGTTCGGAGGACTTTGGATTGAAATGATTGGATGTGTTTGATGTTAGAAAATTTTGCTGTTCCCCAAAGTTCAAGTCCGTAGGTCCAAATAGGTTTCTGGATTGTCTTGTAGATCAGTAATATGTTGCCAATTGAAAGTTGAGATTTTCTAGTCAGTAGTCTGTATAATTGGCCGTATCTTCGATTAAGTTCTTGTCTTTTAAGTTTAGTAAATGGGTTCCATGAGGGGTTACTTAGTCTTCGGTCTAAGTAAAGCCAAGATACCGAACTGTGTCTGAAAAAGGAAGCTGGATGGAATTAAATTGGACTGATGGACAGGAACTGCGCCGGAGTGTGAAGGTAGTGTGTTTGGATTTGGATTCGTTTTCTTTTATGCGCCATTTATTACACCAGTGCTCAATCAGGGAGAAATTCAAAGATGCTATTTCGGGATCTGAGTTGGATGATAGGATGGCGGTGTCATCAGCAAATGTTGCCAGGATACGACCTCCTTACATCACAAATCCTTCGACAACTTCCTCCTAAAGTTTTATTTATATTTAGTTATATTTCTCACCTATTTATATAATAGCATCCTAAGAACCACCCACTTCCCTCTTTTGTGGAAACATTCCACTATTATCCTGTTTCCGAAACCAGGCAAACCTCCCAACACCTCGACGTCCTACAGACCAATTAGCCTGCTTCCAATCCTCTACAAAATCTTTGAAAAGATCCTCCTGAAACGAATCCTACCTTTTATAGAATCCCAATCCTGTATCCTGTATTGGGATGGACAGGGATATCGGCGGTAAAAAGGATATAAAGGCCCGGGTCCAAGACGCTACCTTGAGGAACACCAGCTTCAACTGGGTAGGAATTGGAAAATCCTGTACCACAGCGAACCCGAAAGGTACGATCAGAGAGGTAGGAGCGGAGGATTAGGTACAACGACTGGGGTAGATGGATATTCAGCTTGGAAAGAAGCCGGGCGTGTCATACCCGGTCGAAAGCTTGAGCTATGTCCAGAAATGCATCCGAGCAATATTGCTTGCTTTCCAGCGCTGCGGAAATATGATCGACCACTCGGAGTCCTTGTTGGGCTGTGGAGTGTTGTGAACGAAATCCGAACTGATGGGAAGGAAGATTTTGGGATTCTATAAATGGTAGGATTCGTTTCAGGAGGATCTTTTCAAGGATTTTTGAGAGAATCGGAAGTACGCTAATTGGTCTGTAGGACGTCGGGGTGTTGGGAGGTTTGCCTGGTTTCGGAAACAGGATAATAATGGAATGTTTCCACAATAGAGGAAAGTAAGTGATTCTTAGGATGCTATTATATAAATAGGTGAGAAATATAACTAAATATAAATATAACTTTAGGAGGAAGTTGTCGAAGGATTTGTGAGGTAAGGAAGTCGTATCCAGGAGATTTACGGAGAGAAAATTTTTGTAAGTGATGAAGATAAAAAAAAAAAAAATGTAGAAAGGCTTTAAAATACATGAATAGAAGTACTAAGCAAAGCTCTGATCGAATTTTACTTTTTAAAAAAACAATAACACTGGACCTAGATTGCTTCAAATTTTCAATGAGCAAGCGTACGAGGATGTACGAGGTTTGAGGTACAATAGTACGAGGATTTGTCATACATTTTAGAAATAATAACCCATTGTGTAATAATATGCAACTTTTTTTATTTCCACATTGTATATCAATGTTTTTTTAGCTAAAACATTATAAGAATTAAATAAGGAAATTACATTAATTTTACTAAGAGCAAAATCTGGTGCGCCCATCACATAATGCCTGTTTTGCGCTATATCTTATCAGTTATCAGCACACAGTTCTATTGCATCTTTAGTGATTCTATCTACCCATCTGCTTTTTGGCCTTTCACGTGGGCTTTAGCCTTCTATTGAGGCATTCAATGTTACGTAGAGGCTTCCAGATGGATTACTATGAGCTACATGTCCTGCCCATCTTAACCCCCGTGTCTATCTGTGCGAATTATACGCACCTGAATCATATCAATTGTATAACAACGATTTTATCAACAGAGATCCTTTTAAAACGAACATTCTGAGAAAAAATACCACATTGACTTATCATCTTAATGTTTAGGTAATGTAATGACACACACCACTCAAAGATATGCGTTACTGTAAATAAACAGATAACAGAGCTTCATTGTCTTAATATATAGTATTTTATATTTCCCACTATCAGGAATTATTTGAAAAGAATTTTAAATTATTACTATCTCGACGGGATCTAATCTCACATTTGCCAGGCAGACAACTATATTAAAAGGTAGGCTGCCCAGTTTGCCTACGGCTCTAGCACTGTTTGCATCCTACCAGGACCAGTGAGTACAGCTTATATAGCAATCATTTAGATTAACCTTTTACACGCCGCCCACTAATTCCACTAATTCCTGTAATATTGGGTTAAACATGGTTCAGTTTAGATAATTCCTTTAAAACAAATTTCCTTTGTGCTTTTCTAACTTGTTCCAGAAGTGAAACAATGGCAGATTAAGGTTAGAAATAGAAAATCATCCTTATTCTGGTGCTAGGTCCCTTAAGAATAACAATATTGTTTAAATCAATTGACAATAAATCTGGCCAGATGACCTGTTATAATAAAGAGTAATTACAATCTAAGTAGGGTGTAGGTCTGTAACATCTGGAATTAGGGATGATAATAACAATATTCTGACCGATCCGGTTGACATATTGAATAAATTTAAGGACCACTTTGACAATATTTTAAATACGGGAAATTATGATCTGTGTCCTCCTTCTGAGTACCAGAGTGCTGAACCGTTAATAGAAGGACCAAGTAAAGAGGAAGTTGAAGTAGCTATCGGAAAATTAAAATCATATAAAGCAGCGGGAATCGATAATATTCCTACTGAACTAATTAAGGCATGCGGGGAAGCTGGAGTTTCTAAAATACATCGGTTGGTTAAAAAGATCTGGGTGAACGAGAAATTACCTGAAGAATGGAATTCTTAATCCGATTCACAAAAAGGGCCCGAGGACGGATTGTAATAACCATCGAGGAATTTCACTCCTTCCGGTATGTTATAAAATATTTACTTTAATCTTAACCAGTCGAATCACGCAATACGCCGAGGAAATTATCGGAGACTACCGATGCGGATTCAGACGGAATCGTTCAACTATTGATAAAATATTTTATTTACGGCAAATATTATAGAAAAAAATGGAGTACAACGGTATTGTTTACCAGCTGTATATAGATTTTAAAAAGGCTTACGATTCTATTGACCGCCAGAAACTGTATAATATTCTAATCGAGCAGGGGATTCCTAAAAAATTAGTAAATCTAGTCAGGATGTGCTTGACGGAGACACTCAATGAATCGGTAATAATCTGTCCGAAAAATTTGAGGTTCGTTCGGGTTTAAAACAGGGGGATTCCCTTTCGCCTGTCCTGTTCAATTTGGCATTAGAACATGCCATTAGGGAAGTAATGCGTACCGAGAAAGGATTGGATCTGGGTGGGACAACATCCGTGCTGGGGTATGCGGATGATCTGGTACTGTTAAGCGAAGACCTTGAAACTATAAAATTAAATACGACAACGTTAATGAAAGCCGGTAAAGAACTAGGACTCGAAATAAACGTGGATAAAACAAAATATATGGTTAGCTGCAAAAATGGCGATACTACTGGTGATATCGATATAGATGGTAATATGTTTGAACAGGTAGATAAGTTTAGGTATCTAGGTTCTACGATAACTAGAAAAAACGAAATTGAAGAAGAAATTAAGGCTAGACTGAAGGCGGGAAATGTTTGTTATTTTTCTGTGACAAAACTACTTAGTTCGCGCCTCTTGTCCCGGAACTTAAAAATTAGAATCTATAAAACAATTATCTTGCCTACAGTTCTTTATGGGTGCCAAACTTGGCCGCCTACATTAAGGGATGAGCAGCGTCTTAAGGTTTTTGAAAATAAAGTATTGCGTAGAATATTCGGACCGAAGAAGGATGAGTTAACCGGAGAGTTCAGACGGTTACACAACGCCGAATTGCGTGAACTGTTTCCGAGTAATATAATTGAGATAATTTCATCGCGGCGAATCAAATGGGCTTGTAAAGTTGTTGGACTTAGTAACGAGAGAATTCCTAAAAGGTTAATATTTGCTGTGCCGAATGGTAAGCGTCCGAGGGGTAGACCGAAGCGAAGGTGGGAAGATTGCATTAATAGTCTGTGGGCCAGACCCCCTTACCGTGCACCCCCCCACATCCCTATAAATTGCATATCGTTGTGTTCCTTGTAACTATTTATTAAAAAAAAGCCAATGTTCCCACAAAAAAAAGTGAACGCACTGCCCCAAAATGGCGTCCAAAGATGGCGGATTGACGACTTTGACTTTAGTTAGTTTTTTGGTCACTGAGAATCAGCATTTGGCTTAATTTCCTCATAGTTGGTCTTTTATTAAAGCTGAATAGTTATAGAATAATAAAACATGAAGAAATATTAAAAAATAATTGGCTTAGGCTATGAAAAACACCAGTAAAGTCAATTTTTTTAATAAAAAAATTTTCAAGTTACAAATCAAGCGTCGTTTGTAATTAAACGGCCTACAATAACGCAAAACATGCTGAAATAAACCATCTGGAGAATATATTTCTCTTTCTAAAACGCTGATTATTTTTTACAAATGTTTAAGCAGTTCCGTAGAAAATGCACTTATGCGGCAGAAAAGCGGTACTGGCGTGGGTGCCTACAAGCCTCTACCACACCATTCAGTGCCCATAAATGGTTTAGTTATAGTGATATAATAACATTTTTGGTACATTATATTGGTTTAATTAACGAACAAATATTAATTCAATAATTTAAACGTAAAAAAAAAAATTAAAATTTTAAAAAAAAATTTATTATTATTTTTTTTTTAATTTAACCTCCTTTATTCTGTACGTTGGTCGTTTAAGAAGACCTCAATTGTAAAAATGATATAATAATAATAATAAAAGTTAATTAAAAAATACTTTGCTAAATATCTTGATTTTTTTTTATTTAACATTTGCAATTGAACACTGTGTTTTGTATATTTACTGATTCTTAGAAGTAATTAAAATGTTTATATACTTCCCAGGAAATGAGTCATATTAATACCTTTTTTATAAACTAAAATAATATATACCTAATCTGAACTATATATAATGAATAGCTACCGGGTTGTTTAGTAAAACTTATATATCACTAATTAAAAAATTAATTTTTATTTCCTTTATTTTGTGCAGAAGTTGGGCTATATCATAAATAAATAGGAAATTTTAATATTGAATGAATTATTCTCTATGCACAAAGAAAGAAAGAAGGGGTGATGCTATAACTTCTTCTATAAACCAAAACTGATTGTTTGGTTTTGTTCTCAAAATGAGGAAAAACGCGTATAATACATTATTTTATTTTATTTTTTTTATAAATATTACAATCTGTCTCAATAAAGGACATTTATAATAGAGTTCTGAGAGCACATTCACACCATAATAATACATTAAGCGAAAGAGAAAGGAAGTACTAAAACCTCGGAATAGATAAAAAGAACCAGTATCCATTATATAGCTAAATGAATGTATAGTAGAGAGATGAACAGAATATTTCAAGATGCTGCTAAAACGGGATCAATTGCAGTTTGGATGATATTAAGTGGACTATGTAGGTTTATTATGTTGAAAACCACTTTATTTTTTATTGCTGAAAGTGCACATCGGGACTATATTTACTTTGAAGCAGGATATAGAGAGGTATATCGAGAAAGTTATAGCTCATAGCTTTCCTTCTGATTTTTTAAGGAATCTTATATTAGTTATTGTTCAGAAATTGCGGAATAAATTGTTCGGACTTGTACCATATCATAAAAAAATAGGAAATTTTAATATTGAATGTATTATTCTCTCTGCACAAAGAAAGAAAGAAAGGGCGAAACCGAACTGCTTTGATAGTTTTGCGCGTACATAGGCAACAAGCATATTAGAAAATAACATAAAAGGACTGTGGTTTTTACCTTTACAAGAAAGGAGGTACTAGGAAATGTAATACCCATCAAGATCCATTCCTGTTTAGTGTATCAAAGAAATTATACTCAAGAATCGTAGAAGCTGGAATAAGAAATATTGTCGATTGCCAGAGTGATATGGATTGAGAAACTTAAGTTGCACATTGGAAGAGAAGTTGAAAATTGGGACTGTCTTCACTTTAAGGCAGGTTATAGAGAAGTCCACATAAAAAGAAAAATAGCTCTCTATCTGCTTAGTGCCTCACACTTTGGATTATGCTAATATCTAACTGTCTTTAAGAAAAGCTCGTTTTCCTTTTAGATTCCTTAAAAATTTTTTTGCAAATGCACTAAACAGAAGGAAAGCTATGAGCTATAACTTTCTCGATATCTCGATATTCTGTTCATCTCTTTACTATACATTCATTTAGCTATATAATGGATACTGGTCCTTTTTATCTATTCCGAGGTTTTGGTACTTCCTTTCTCGTTCCCTTAATGTATTATTCAAGTTTTTCCTCATTTTGAGATCAAATTCAAACAATCAGTTTTGGTTTATAGAAGAACTTATAGCATCACCCCTTCTATCTTTCTTTGTGCATAGAAAATAATTCGTTCAATATTAAAATTTCCTATTTATTTATGATATAGCCCAACTTCTGCACAAAATAAAGGAAATAAAAATTAATTTTTTAATTAGTGATATATGAGTTTTACTTAACAACCCGGTAGCTATTCATTATATATAGTTCAGATTAGATATATATTATTTTAGTTTATAAAAAAGGTATTAATATGACTCATTTCCTGGGAAGTATATAAACATTTTAATTACTTCTAAGAATCAGTAAATATACAAAACACAGTGTTCAATTGCAAATGTTAAATAAAAAAAAATCAAGATATTTAGCAAAGTATTTTTTAATTAACTTTTATTATTATTATTATATCATTTTTACAATTGAGGTCTTCTTAAACGACCAACGTACAGAATAAAGGAGGTTAAATTAAAAAAAAAATAATAATAAATTTTTTTTTAAAATTTTAATTTTTTTTTTACGTTTAAATTATTGAATTAATATTTGTTCGTTAATTAAACCAATATAATGTACCAAAAATGTTATTATATCACTATAACTAAGCCATTTATGGGCACTGAATGGTGTGGTAGAGGCTTGTAGGCACCCACGCCAGTACCGCTTTTCTGCCGCATAAGTGCATTTTCTACGGAACTGCTTAAACATTTGTAAAAAATAATCAGCGTTTTAGAAAGAGAAATATATTCTCCAGATGGTTTATTTCAGCATGTTTTGCGTTATTGTAGGCC